CGGTATATCGATCACTTTTATTAATATTTCCTGCCATAAAAAAACCCTCTAACAAGGCCCGAACTTCTTCTGTAATTCGTTTTCCAGTACCTTTTTTGCCGAATTTTTGGTTTTCTTTTAAAGCCCAGCCAGAATGTAAAGGAAACACTTCACTAATACTTCTAAAAATTGCTTGTCAAGTGAGTAGTTATTTGAGATTATTCAAAATTAAAAGCAATATTACTTACTGTTGCCGGGTTTGAGTATTTGTTATATCTATTAACGCATTATCAAAATTCTTTTGATCTTAAAACACAGAATTATTATCATAATTATCACTTTATGCTTCCTTCCTTTAACCTATCTGTGTTTGGGCTTGTGATTTTTTTTTCTAATTCCAGCTCTAATTTTTCTATTAATTCACTTCTATTTTCTTTTCCGTCAACAACAATATGCCTTAAATGTAGCTGCTTTACTAGATTCTCCTTTGACAAACAATCTGGGCGTATGTCTATAATGCATTAATAAATATGAAACTTGTTAGTATTCTAGCAGTATTTACGAATGTGAAATTGATACGTACTTTCTGAGTTTGGTAATGGTATCTGCCAATTAGAATTTGGCTTCGTAGAAGTTGAGAAATATGGAGTAGGTTTTTTAATTTTATGTTTTTGTAACTTTTCCAACTGCACAGAAGTGAACACAGTCCAATTGCCAATATTCGGAATCGATCGTGCCAGTATACAACCTTCGAAGTCTCCATCAGTTGGCTATTGCTACTCGAACCAATTGGAGTTCCCTGGTAATGTGTTACTTCCCTCTCTTTAATTTTATAATTATTTATTAGTTATTCACAAAATGTTACTGTTGTTATTTTTGTATGAAAATTTTATGCCCCAATATAAGAAATCATTAAACAAAATCAATATTTGAATATAAGTATAATCTGATGAGGTTAATTATGTGTATAACTGGGTATTAATTGTTTGAACTAATGGTCTTTTTTAACAGGAATACTGGACATATATTAAAGACCATTGTT